CCAACCTTCCACTCTCTTAGACATGTCAGTCTAGCTTCTCTGCTTCTCAGCTTGGGCTACGCCTTTCTTATTGTTGCTGCTTGTATCATTGCAGGTACTATTTATTACCATTGCTTTAACATCCCACGAGTTTTGAAATTTGATGTCCATGGTTGTTTTTTTCTTCTTTTGTGTTATTGAAGCAATGAGCAAAGAAGCTCCAGAAAGGGAGTATAGCTTAGAATCATCACCAAAATCAAGGGTCTTCAGCGCCTTCACATCCATCTCCATTTTAGCAGCCATTTTTGGGAACGGAATCCTTCCTGAAATCCAAGTAAAATACAACCTTAATTAACGCAACTTCGTTTAAATAAGATTGGTTGACATAATAACGACCTTAATATTCTATACAGTTATATTAATATCGCGTATATCTTCAAATTTGTACACATAAGTTATGAAGACATTGGAAATGCTGCAATGAGCATGTTCAAATCTCTATATCTGTGAACAGGCAACTCTAGCAGCTCCAGCGAGTGGGAAGATGGTGAAAGGGCTTTTGATGTGTTACAGTGTGATATTTGTAACTTTCTACGCCATTGCAGCATCTGGATATTGGGTGTTTGGAAACAGGGCAACCTCCAATATTTTGCTGAGCCTGACGCCGGACACTGGACCTCCATTGGCTCCCGCTTGGATTCTTGGGCTCGCTGTCATCTTTGTTCTTCTTCAACTCCTCGCCATTGGACTGGTCAGTGCTCACCTCTCATAATTGCTGCTTATGTTTAACTATGAATGATACATGGATAGTGGTGGAAAACGGGCAGGTTTATTCACAAGTGGCATACGAAATAATGGAGAAGCAATCAGCTGACGTGAAGAAAGGAATGTTTTCCAAAAGGAACCTTATTCCAAGGCTCATTCTTCGCTCAATATACATGATCATCTGTGGCTTTTTTGCTGCTATGCTTCCATTCTTTGGTGACATTAGTGCCGTGGTGGGTGCTATTTGCTTCATTCCTCTTGATTTCATTCTACCAATGCTTCTCTATAACATCACCCACAATCCTCCCAAATCCTCCCTCACCTATTCTATCAACCTCGCCATTATTGTCGTCTTCACCGGCGTTGGACTCTTGGGTTCGTTCTCTTCTATACGAAAGCTCATTCTTGATGCTTCCAAGTTCAAGCTCTTTAGTAATGATGTTGTCGATTGATCTAAAAAAATACCTCTAAATTTTGTACCCAATTTAAAAATACTCTTAAAATTTCTTAAATGTAAGAATATCAAAAAATAATTAAAAATATTTGAGAGCATACTTACCTACACGTACTTACACATGAGAAACGGAAAAAAATGACGAAAAAACCATGGAAAATGGGAAAGAAAATATCATTTAAACGTAAATAAATATAACTCTTAAATCTTTCTACTCTGGATAATAATTCGATCTCCACCCTCTATTGTTGAACTAAAAAATTAATAGCGCATTCAAATCTTTTCTTTTCGTGTCTAGGATACTACAAAATAAAATGAATAATGGAGGGTTATACGCTCTCAGTCCTCTTTGACTATTTTCTTACCATTTGTTCTCGGGATATCTTTGAGTTATCAACCTGAACATGATTCAACTAATTAATCTAACATCGTTCTTTTTTAAAAGAAAAATTATTTTTTTTTCATAGAAAAAACGAGTAAAAATGGGGGAAAACCCCAAATATATAAACAAAAAATTAAAACGATAGCGTTGGGATTAAGATGAACTAATGTGTAAGATATGTAAGGGAAAAATTTGTATGGCTATTATGGCATGGGCGTGAACCATAATGGAAAGTGGCCTCTTCTTTAAACCATTCCCTTTCATACTATCAATGGCTCACTTATCCTCCGACACCCGAGCTCCGCTCCCCCTCCTTGCGTTTCCATGCCCATGTCCAAGCCTTCTTCCAAGTTATCTCGCTCGCTTTCCAAAATACTCCGGTCGCTTTTCCGATCGAAACCCAACTCAAATAGCTCCATTTTTCTGACTCGAGATCAACTCAAAGATGGGTTTTATGTCTTCTATGAAGTCGGGTCGCTCTCGACCATCCCTGAGGTCCCCGAGGCTGACTTTGGAGCCGGTCTTTCGCCGGAGATTAGCTCTTTGGTGAAGAAGACGGCTTCCGAGAGGTTCATGCCTAACTCCCTCAGCATCTCATGTGCTTTGAATATTTGAATATCTAGATTATATTTATTAGAAATTATTTGTGTAATAATTATGTTCCTATGTACTCTTTTTTCCTTTTTTTTTTCTTGTAATTTTTTTTTTTAATGTTTAGGGATGTTTTGCTTTAAGCTTGCATAAATTTGAATATCAATGATAGAAGTTCGTTTATAATTTTTATTATTCAAATAAAAATTAATAGGGTGTTTTTTTTTGTTAAAGAATATTTTAAAATTATTTTATTTTGACGATTAACATTTTATGTTTTAATTTTAATAAAATATAACTCTTTCATAGTAATCTTTAAATTTAAAACTTACTTAATTCATATTATTTAATAAATAGTTACAAGAAATTACTAAATAAAATGTGGAAATAGTAACGATGGAGAACTTTACTAAAATTACTATTTTATATTCACACATCATCATTTTCATAATCGATGCAATATGTATATATATAGCCGTGTTTAATTTTCCTATAATTAGAGATTCAAATTTCTCCATAAAAAATAAAAGAAAATTTCTATCCAAAGGCCAATTTTTAAAGCTCAAACAATAATTATTAAAATATTTATTAACATCTTTTCCCTATATTGCATTAAAAATAAACGGTTTTATTATTTTTTTGGAAGAAAAATTTTGAGCGTAATTATAAGAAAATTACCTCTAAATATCTTGAAAATATATTCACGTAAAATTAGTGTTTTATTTTATTTGATAAAATTAATTTCAAACTTACAATAGAATATTAATTTTGATATTTATTAAAATTTATATACTAAATTTAGAAATTTATAAGTATAAAAATAGAAATGAAATTAGTAACTGTGTTACTCTTAAAATTATCATTAATATCCTTAAATTTTCAAACTTTAATACTTTTAAAATTGAAAAGGAAAAAAAAAAAAGGATAATTTATGATATGCGGTTCCATTCATATTTTAACGATAAAACTTTTTAAAATTTTTTTATAAAGGTATGTTACATTTAAAAATTTACGGGTACTTATTAAATATAATATTAGAGATAAAAATATTTTAATTTTTTTTTTTAATTTAAGGTATTTATAGACGGTAAGAATTTTCATCTAAATTTTTTTTTTTTTTTTTATAATTTTGATATTTATTAAAACTTTAAAAAGTTTTTAGTAAGTTTAAAGGTTTTTGTTATTTTTGTCTTTATTTTATTTAAACAAATTCGTGAAATTGCCCTTTTTTTTGTCCTAATATATATTATAGATATAGATAAATCAGCGCGCAAAACCCTGAAATAAAAGGGCTAAAGATTTTGTAGCAGGTGAAGGCGCGAACAAGAAATTGATAGTTGAGATGGTGAAGGCTATGGCTGGCGACTTTGGACGAAGACACGGTTTGTTCAGCTCGGAACTACACCGCCAACAGATTAGCCACCGATTCGGTGGCCGGAACCCTCGCCATCTTCGATTCTCCTGACCCTTCTTCCTCATCGGCGTCCTTAACTCGCACCTCAAACTTCAAGGTTTTTGAGTTTCATTTCTCTGTTTCTATTTTAGTTGAACTTCATCGTCTTAGGTCGAATTAACGGTTGCTTAGAGATAAGCTTACGTTTTTTGAACGGTTACTAGTCTACACTTCGAAACTCGGCTGCACTGTAAATTTTTGGAGATACATCAATAATGTTACCAATTTCCTGCCTCGATTATGTTTAGTATGTAAGCTGCGTGTTCGTCAGGAAAGAGAGAGAGGAAAATAAGAGAATGAGGAGTGAATTATTGGGGGTGAAGGAGTGAAATTGAGTTCATGACGGCTAAGAGGATAGAAGTGTTGATATGAGCATCGTTTCATGCTTTGCCGGAAATTGAGTCTTATTTTACCTTCTTACAGAGTAGAATAACTAATTCAAAGCTAGTAGAGGCAAAACCGAGGGGAAGATTCAAAGCCAACAAGGAAGTAGATGTCATCTCACTCAATCTACGAATATAAATAGTAACTTTCTTAGATTATAGAAAATGCACGATACACTACAAGGATATATTTTTCAATTACTATTATTGTTATGGAGCTTCCTAATTTTAAACAAGATGTGCAATGCTTAGTCTAATATTGATGCAATCAATTGGGAAGAAAACTAATAAATGAACCAAAAATCAACCTGCTCATTATATTACTAATCACCCTGCTTTGCTGACATTTTAGAAAATGAAATCTGGGTAGAGAGAACCTTCCTTTCTTCTGTCTTAGTGTATGATTGAATATTCTGTGGGGTTTGTTATTCGCCAGGATGCAATTTTATTCTCATGCCTCCGTGGTTTAGTAGAAAAATTCTGGGGAATTAAATGGGAAATTTGGGTTGATCTGCTCTGAATCAAATGGAAAATCCCAATCCAGGATAGGGGATTTGGTAGCTGAACTGTTGGCTGAGAAAATCTCATGAACATCAGGTTCTGGATGTTGTACATTATGAGCCCCTCCGACATCGCTCCTATGGCATGGGGATGGAGTGAAGTAGTTCGAGTCAGCTGTGGTTGGGGATATAAATGGCTGAGTATAGCTTCCCAAGGCGCTGTGAGTATCGATGGCTAAATGTGAAAAGCCACCATTTACAATGTCCTTACATCCTGCAGAAGTTGAGCCGAAGCAGAAGCTAGATGCCTTGCTTTCGAGCTTTTCAATGTTCTCAATAGTTTGATTACTGAATAAGTTCTCTTGCGAAAGCTGCAGCTGATGATGGTCGTGGTCATTTTCCTTCTTTTCTTGTATTTTTGGTGAATGACATGATTGGGCTAAATAGTTTCCTTGGGAACAAGTGTGCTTTCCTCGATAGGTAATGTCAAACACAGAATGATCTTCATCTGATCTCTGCACTTGCTTTATTGCCCAACAATTCTGTGTATTGCGGAAAGTGCATCTATAGTAGCTTCTGCAAGTATACAACAAACAGGTATTAGATTTATTGATGTGAAACAGTAATAAGATTATGATTATAGTTCTACAATATATTTTGGTATGGAAAATTGGATTCTTGTATTTTATTTGGTTCGGTTTCATGATAATCTTTTCTTTATTTCTTTTAAGTTAGCTTTAAAGAAAGTGGACTTTGACTTTGAATTTTTAGTCGCCGACGTTTCCTCCTTTTTTATGTCAAATTCCTTGTAGTTTCTTCTGGTTTTCCTTCATAGGGCCAATTGCATTCCTCCATTACAAGAACATCAAAATTTAAGATCTCCCCTCCCCCTAGCATTTTTGTATACATACTGAAGCAATGATATTTGTTTAAAATATTACTGTGGGGTATTAGAATATATGTTACCGTGTATGCTTTGCATGTTTTTCGAGCAGGAAGGAGAAGTCATCTCACCTGGGAAATGTTGCACCAAGTATGTCCTTTTGGCCATATTTTCTCCAGCTATAACCATCCTCATGGGGTCCGTCGAATCCCGTCTCGGAGTTCACTTTCACTTGTTCTGTCCATCTGGGCTGTGTCTTTCTGTAATCACAGAATCATAAAGGTGTTTTTATTTGTTTCCAAAAATTAAACTCGTTTACTAAGTAACCTCATATTTGTTCTAAGGTTGACTTTGAAAAGCTGGAAAGAAAATTCTTAAATTCACCTCTTCTTTGATTCTTTTCTGGGGTCCTGAGGGTCCTTGAGGCCTTTACCAGAGTCATCACTAGAAAGACTTCCATTAACAGAAATTGGAGAACCTGGCAAAGCAAAAGCTGCTTCTACCATTTGAGGTTGACTCATCGGTCCATTCCATTTCAGTATCGAAAGAGCCTTCTCATATGAAGATATAATCCCATGTACTAATGATCCTCTGCTTTCTTCTGCAGATGCTGAACTCAACTCTGCTTTCAACTGCTTGGTAAGCTCCATCCCCTGAATTAGCTCGCCAATGAGTGACTTTTGATCCCAGCTCCACCCACTTTCCATTTTCAATTCCTCTCAGTTTCATAAAACGAACTGAACCACCCTACCCTACCACTGTGCTAGTTCATGGTAGGAAGAACAAGAGCTCAGTGCATTTCAGTTTGGATTTGTAGGTAAGTCAAGAAGCAGAAGCTAGAGGAAATGGAAGACCCAAATGGTAAAGAATCAGAGACAACAAACATGGAAGTAGCCAGATGAGGTAATTTGGTTAACTGGGTATATTTGTGTTTATTTAAAACTGAACTGAGAGGAGAAGAAGAAGAAGAAGAATGCTTTGGTTTTAAGAAGAACGGATCTTGGTTTTATACAAGTTCAAAAAGGAAGACAACTTTATTTCAGTTTTCTTAAAAGAAAATGTTGTTGAACAGTTAGAAGTTGGGGAAACTTTGACTGAGACAGCCCCCTCAGTTGCTTTCTGGTCTTTGGTCATTGGCTGAGTGGAGACTAAGATTAGTGTGGAAGTCCAAGTTCTAAAGCTGACCAAGTCCACTTCCACTTCATAATTTAACTTCCAAAAGGGTTTCTGTTTCTCTCTCTAGATCCTACGGCTGTGATTTGTTGAGAATGAAAATTTCATAATTGAGATAGTGAGACAAGTGGAAAGTCAGAGTTCAAGCTTGGAGAGTAGACTAAGAATTTTCAAACCTTTCGTCCGCGTTGTGGTATAGTAAACAACTGCTTTTCATCTTTATTATTATTATTATTATTATTCTCATTTTTTTTTTAAATCTCTAAAGCTTATGATTGTGAGTGGACAGCTCTTTTCATGCTACGTTTTTGTTCTCTTACTGATAGATTAAATCTTAGACCTTAGTATTAGAAAAACTTGGTCAAAATTAATGATTTCTGTGTGCATATTTGTTTTACTAAATATTGTAATTTGGTCATTCTGGTTGGGCTTGATTATTTTTATCTGATACGACGTCATAATAGTAAGGTGATGTGATGTAATTGAAATTGCTACATTAAATTTCATATTTAATTTTTAGTTAGTGTCTTTTTGGTTAATCACATATTTAATTTATGTGTCGGGTTCTTTATCTTATGTATTCTTGACACGAGGGATGAAATTCTTATTCTCAGGTAAATTGACTTGTTGATCTTGTAAGTTGGATCAAAGTTTGAAGTCGTGAGTGTTTAAAAGGTATTTTCATCGTGTGTTAAAGTCAGGCATTTAAAGAAATTTTGGTTGGTCTTTAAATTTTATGATATTCAAATCGCTTTCCTTTCAAAAAGTCTTCAGCCTTTTGATCTTTGTAAGTCTTCACATTGCTTTTAAATGTGTTTGTGTGTGTTGATGAACGAATTCAAATATTATGACTCAATTTGACTAAACTAGGCTTATTTGATTATTATTGTCTTTTCATTGTTGTTCACCCATCCAACCAAATTCCAACATTGAAATGATCAAAACTTGTCACTTTATTTAAATTTCAAAATATGACTCTTCATAGTAGAGATTAAAGCTAACCACAATTTAAATGGTAATTGCCAGATTACTTGTAAAATAAGTTGTCAAACCAACTAAGATTAACTGTCTTAGTCGTTAGTCGTTGCAATGCTTATATAAGTTTAGGTAAACTTGTCAAGCTTCTTGGTAGTTGAGTTTGTCTCAAACAATTTTAAATGTCTTAAATTTTGTTTGTTGTATCATTCAGTTTAATGGTACTAATTCACCAATTAACTTTTTTTAAAACTAATATAAAATATTAATAAACTCATTAATTTTAATAAAATAAAATAATAATTTTCACCGATGCATGTATTAGCTATTGCATAATTTTGTTAAAATTCATAAAGTTTCATAAATAAATAAAAATATATATCTCTAATATCATTGTTTTAGCATTTTCTAAATTTCATATTATAAATATGTTTCATAGTTCATTAAACGGAGAAGATTTTTTTTCCCCTAAAAAGTTATTTATTAGAAAATGTAATAAGCTTAAATTGTAATATAAAATTTACTTTAAAAATTATAATATAAATCTCATAAGGTTAGGTAAAGTATCAAATAAAAGAGAGTGAAATGGAGTGTGCATAAAAAGTGGTCAAAATAGAAAATTATTTATTTAATAATCGGCCTTAATGCTTCGTTAAGGCCACGTGTAAAGGGACGAGCAAAGTGTACGGCCTATTAAGAGTTAAAAATGTATGGCCCATAAAAGAAGCCCATAAATGTAGTGAACGGCTCATTAAGGATTCAAAACTTATGGATCATAAGAGAAGCCCATAAATCTAATAGCCGAGCAAAGTGAACGGCCCATTAAGAGTTCAAAAATTATGGACCATAATAGAAGCCCATAAATGTAGTGAACGGCCCATTAAGGATTCAAAACTTATGGATCATAAGAGAAGCCCATAAATCTAATAGCCGAGCAAAGTGAACGGCCCATTAAGTGTTCAAAAATTCTGGACCATAAGAGAAGCCCATATATTTAGTGGGCGAACAAAGTGAACGGCCCATTAAGAGTTCAAAAATGATGGACCATAATAGAAGCCCATAAATGAAGTGACCGGCCCATTAAGAGAGAAATTTATGGACCATAAGAGAAGCCCATAAATCTAATGGCCCTCTATGAACAAATTAGCTCAGTATTTTCTTTTAGCCGAGTATAATAGTGATGAAAAGACGAAGATACCCCTTTAAGAACATTTTAGTGGGGGTTGAGGCATAGATTATGCTGCAATAAAAATTTAACCTTTTATTTCTATTGTTTTATTCAACTTCTTTTCAAAAATATATTTAAATAAAACTTAATAAAATTGTATAAAATATCATATGATTTTTTATCTTTTCATATATATATTCTCAATAACTATTTTGATCCTCTTGTTAACATACTTCAAAGGTCAAGAGTAATAAATAATATCCAACATAATAAAATTAATATCAAGAATGAAAAAAAAAAATCAACATATAAAATGCTTTAAATAATACGTTTAGGGATTTAATTCAACTCAATCCAATCTTATTCCTGGATTATCTCATAATTTGTTTATATATTCAATAATAAGTTAGGTTGTTTTGGATCCAATAATAAGATTTGAAATGCAACATATTTGTAAGACATGTTTTTGTAAGAAATGTTTAAAATAGCATAGACTTTTTCCCCTATTCCTTCCGTACTTCCCCTCAAGATTTATAAAACTAATTTGTTCATACCCTTTTAAAGAATGTTTTGTTCTTCTTTTCAACCGACTTAGGATCTCACAATCCACTCTCCTTCAAAGTCCGACTTAGGATCTCACAATCCACTCTCCTTCAAAGTCCAACGTTCTCATTGACACTCGTTCTCCTCTCCAATCGATATGGTATCTCACAATCCACTTTTCTTCAGGGTCTAGTGTCGTCATCACTAACACTCTTTCTTCACTTCCATCGATATGTGATTTCACATGGATGGTATCAAAATAAAATTTATGGGTTGATGAAAAGCTACTCAAAAACCTTACCCTGAGGGCCAATACACATTTGTTTTCCATGCATGTGATGAACAGAAGTGGACATGACCCACAAATGCCAGACCTTTTTTTATTCTTTTACTCTTCCTTGGATTTTTCTTAAAAAATATATTATGTGTATAAGCTTTGATTTAATACACTAATCCAACAAAAACATAACCCATTAAAACTATATAATAAATGTAATTATTTGATTAATGCATTCCCAACACAACATTAACTCAACTCAAACATACAATATTCAATTCAGAAAATTACTTATTCCCTTAACTTGCTGTTGCATTAATCGGCGGCGCCGCCTGATCTTGATTCTTCTCCACCACCCTCACTCCCTCCGCAGATCTAAGCACATCCGCCTGCACAAACCAAACCACTCATCGGAAAAACTATTCTCGAAACTAATAGCTATCAAACGAGACCTTCAATACCTGTTCTTCGGTGATTTCGACCGAGAACCCGTCGACGATGAGGAAAGACGAAACCTTTCTGTAAGTTCCAGGCTCCAGACACCTCCCCAGAACCCCATCGTGCTTTCTACTCAGATACTCATCAAGCTCATGAGCCCCTTCCCCAGATCTTCAAACCAAAAAACAAAACAATCAGTTTCAAATTCAAACAACAAAACAAAACATTATTGATTTATACCCACCGATCAGCTCGAAGACGTTCATATTCAGGATCGTAGTTCATGAAAACGAAGTAACACGCGCCACCGCCACCGCCACCGACGCCGTCGTATCTGTTCTCCTGCATTGTGGCTTTCTTCTGGGTTTCCGGCGAAGATAGGGAAAATATGAAGCTATTTATGCATGAACTGAATCATCGCCGGATAAATATATAAATCATAATTTAGTTTTCCAAATAATTAATATTTCTTTCTTTTTTTTTCAATTTAAAATATATATTTATTTAAAAAAAAATTAATGCTTATTTAATTAGGGTTGGTTAGTGAGGGGAAGGCATCGAGCTCATAAAAATTTTAAATGATTAAAAAAAAATTAAAAATTAAAAAAATGGTTGAAATTTTGTTAAGGGTTTCTAGGGTTTCGTGTGTTCATGAATTTGGAATCTCTTAACCTAAATAGATTAATTTTTTAATTTTTTTTAAGATGAAGGGTCAACCCTAATTAACCATTAATTAATTAAATTTGAAATAAAACCCCCACATTTTTCAAGATTGGGAATATTTTGATCTCTACGTTGCTTATTGCTATAATTTGAATTATGGATATATTTTTCTTATTTATATTGTTTTAAAAATTAAGTATTTATAAATACTAGAGAACTAAAAAATAATAATTATAAAATATAGTTGTAATTACTAAAAATTTAAAAATATACTAAAATAAAAAATAAAAAAAAGTGATTATGGAATAAAATAATAATTATTAAATTTGAAAATGATTATTTGATGTTTACTTGAAAGTAAGCATATGGTCTTTTTCATAAATTATTCGTATTTATCTCATGAATGGAAAAGAACGTAACATGTAATAGTAAATGTACTAAAAATGTAGAAACATAAAAAGATTTAGAATTAAAATTATATATTTATATACTTAAAATGTAAATACTATTATTTTTAAAATTAAAGAATTGTGAAAATATGTGTAAGAAAGAGGATGGAAACCAGGCTGTGTGTCAGAGCAGATTTCTGCCACAGTGAATGTGGTCACCTGCATTAGAAATCTCCACGTGTCAATAAGAGAAGGGGACAAAGGTGGGGGACCCTGGAAATTAACATGGGCCTAACCACAGGGAATCTCTGACCAACACGAGAACTAGATGTTTTTCTTTGACTACTTTTGCAAAACGAACCTCCTCTTCCTATATTTTTCAACCAATTATTTTCGAAACTTCTTTTTTTTTCTTTTTTTTTTTAACCTAAGAGATTATGCTCAAAGTAGATAATAGTATACGGGTATTTAGAGGGGTTGTTTCTACCAGAGTCATGCTCTTATCTTTGAAGATGTAGTTATAGGTTCTTGAGAAGGGGTTTGATCGAGTCGTCACGTGTGTCGGGCAGCTTGGCGGGCAGAGAAGAGTGAGAAAGGGGTTAATATAATGGTGGTCCTTCACCAATATCCAGAAGAGTACACCTGTCGGGCAGTTTGGCGGGCAGTTTGTGTGTTCATCACTGCAACAGCACACCTGGATCAGCTGAAGCTACGTTCATGGGCTCAGTGAACAACCCTTGGTTCTCAGCATACACACCCCTCTGCTACACACCCCTCTGCTGCTCCTCTGCACCATCTTTT